CAAAATGGCCCAGATACTTTAGCGTTTGCGGGTCTTACCCATTTTGAGTGTCAGCCGATCCGGTTTCAGTTGGAGTGAGATGGAAAAAGTGGAAAAGAGCCCTAGAAATATATTTTCTAGCTAGATACGTATGGTAGACCGGACCCAAGTAAAGGTTAACGAATCAAACAAATCGGAAATTAACAAGTTAGACAACAAGAAATTACAATCCAGATTTCCATCAATAGGGAAGTGAAGCCGATAATTCAACCGTTCAGAAGAATACTAATTCTTTTGGAAGAAAATGTGAACAAGAAACAAGCCGAACTTAAAGAAGCTGATATAATTAAAGAGGTCACTGGACCATTACCGTGGATGTCTCCAAATCCATCGGTTATCCTGCATCGACATGAGGAGGGCAAACGAGGCTATCATAAGGGAAAATGACCCACTCCCGACAATAAATGAACTATTGTCCAATTTCAGGCAAGCTAAATAAAGGCTCGATATAAAGAATGCTTTTCACCAATAAGAGATTGATGAAGACAGTAGGTACATCACAACCTTTAGTACTATTAAGGGCTTTCCGGTATAAGAGACTTAATGTTTGGTGTGTCGTGTGCACCTGATATGTTTCAAAAAGTCCTAGAAAAGTTGTTGCTGGGTTGTGAAGGCAATGCAAATTTTATAGACGATATTCCATTCATGGATCTGATGACCTTGGACACAAAAGACGACTCGACAAAGTGCTATGGGTGTTGAAAGAAAATAATGTTCTCAATCATGCTAAATGCATCTACAAGACAAACAGGATTGAATTTTTAGGACATCAACTAACGGGAAAAAAGCTAGCCTTCAAATATCGAAGAAATACAGAGCTTTCTTGGGCTAATAAATTGTTGTAAAATGGGTATCCAATTTGGCATCGCTTACAGAACCCCTTCGGAGGATAATACGCCTTAAATTGGGTAATTCCGCTAACATTCAAAAATATTGGACAGGCACCCAGGACAAGGCATTTGAAAACCTTAAGAGATAACTCTCGAATATACAAACAGGTTATTACAATCCAGCTGATAGAATTCAAATAATAGTTAACGCGTCTCCAATTGGATTAGGGGCAGTATTCACTCAAATTGATAGTAACGGTCCCTGCGTGATAGCGTTTGGTAATAAAAGCCTTACTGTTTGCGAGAAGATACTGTCAGTCGGAGAAAGAGGTCTTGGCACTGGTGTGATCCATAGAACATTTTAAAATATAATTAATAGAATCAGGCGTTACTTTGCATACATCCGCTAGATAAAATAAAATGATGATGAATGATCCCCGTCACCACTAATCCCAGCACCACTACTCCCAACACCACTACACTAGGAAAGACACACCACTGACGAAAATACGACAAGTGTTTCGCTGTGTTTGGAACTTTAGCCGAACTTTCCACTTAGCGGCTAGCCACCGTAGAGTCTATATCACCTGAGGAAGCCTCGTGTAGAGGCGAAACACGTGTCGTATTGTCGTCAGTGGTGTGTCTTTCCTAGTGTAGTGGTGCTGGGATTAGTGGTGACTGGGATAGTGCACGCAATTGAGGGAGGGCGGGAGGTGCTCTTCAAACTAGGTAAGACAATTTTATTTTATCTAGCGGATGTATGCAAAGTAATATTTGTTAAATTTAATATTTTAAAATATATCTATTGGGAAAGAATTCGAATTAATTAGTGATCACAAGCCCCTAGAAGCTATTTTTGGTATCAGATCGAAGCCTTGTGCGCGTATATAGCGCTGCGTTTTGCGGCTACAAGTACAAGGTTATTTACTAAGACTTTTAAGAAAATATCGCCGACCATATCTCCTGGTTTTGTGAATCGAATCTTCCAGTACCAGACACCACCAGCAGTGGTAGATACAGTAAGCCAAGAGCAGTACCACTAAATGAAATTGATATAGCTGCTAGTGCATTAGACAAGGAAATCACAACACTAAAAATTGATTTTTCGAATGGTTTTCGACAAGTGAGTTGAATGTGTAAACGCTTATCATTATGGTTTTCCAGATTCAGATTCCAGAGATTTGTTTCCATGAAAACATAGCCCGAAGAGGAAGGAAACTTATTATCCCTAAACAGCTACGTGAAGATACACAAATGAAATTTATAGCTTTTATGGAATGACTACACCTGTCAGATCTTAAGTCTATAATATGGCGTACATACTCAGTAATATAAATAAAACACGGTAGATTCATATATATTTGAATAGCTACCTTAAATATAGTTATCAGTTCCCACAAAAACTTGAGAGACAGTTACCCACTGAAGTTGTCGCTTTTAGGTGTTAGTGTGCGCGTGCATCGTAACAACTTCATGGTGTCCTTTTTAGGTGTCGGTGTGCGCGCGCATCTTAAAAATTCAATCTCATAATTTTTCCCAAACGCCCCAAAAGAAGTATAACTTCAAAAAAAGAATCGAAAGATGATTTTTTAGAATATCTTATTATGTAAAAGCACCCCTTACACGACAACCGGAAAAACTCCCTCTGAACTTTTCTTTCGGAGACAGTTCCGGGATACCTATAGCAGCGGACATTGAACATAATATAATTAGATTCGGATGTAAGAGATGATAAAGAAAAAGGAAAGGAATATGCGGATAGGAAGAGGGAAGCAGTAGATAGTTGTTTTGAAATCGGAGAAAAGGTATATGTAAAAATCATGACTAAAGAAAACAAATTAACTCCTAATTTTAACCCAGAGACTAATACAATAACGGATGTAAACGGTAAGGATTGATTCAACGGCAAAAGAATATCGCAGGAATGTTGTTCACCTTAAAAGAGTAGAAAACGGTGAGTGTGGAAAGTGAAACACGTCCAGAAGGGGCAGCCAACACGAAATTGTACTAATCAAACTTGAGCGTCTTCAAATTTTTTTATAAGATTTATATTTGGTTTGAATATGTTTCTTGTTTTCGTAATAAGCTTGAGTGGCTTCCCATTCATCTTCGTCGGAATGCTCATATTCTGTCACTTCTTTACAGTGGTCTAAGAAGGATCGCTTTGAATGCTTTCACTATTCCCATTCGATAGTTTTGAGATCAGAAAATTTTATATTAAAAATGCCTGGCCATAATATCAAATATTTGGACAGGTCGTTTACTATCCATATATATTTGTAAATATTGTTACTGTATCACCAAACCACACAATTTTCTACTTTTTGTGATCCTATCCATCTAGAGGTTGTCTGGAAAAAATCGCTTTTAGCGCTAAGACCGCCCCTTGTGGCACTTTTTTTTTTCTTCTTTCTTTTATGTATTGTTTTGGTGTACAGTAAAGAGTTATCTATCTACTTAATTAATGTTTCAAAGTCTGATTAAGTCGTAATCGTCTTTCTCAAATGAATCATTTTTGTCGACGCTTCGTTCGTTTATATGATTTTTGGTAAATACTCATGAAACGAAGTAAAAATATATTTCGAAATACTTATGTAAGTTGTTTAATGGTGGAGTGATCCTCTTGCTCCTAATTGGAACTTAATTCTACTGAACCACTAGAAAAAAATACTACCCACTGTAAGCAAGGAAGAGGTTCGAAACAGTTTTAGTGGAAAATCCACTAAGTTGGCAACATCAGGCTACTCTGAGTATCAGTACGCGCCGAACGCGTCGCATTCTATGACGTCATCAGCATGCCTTCTTCAATATTCCGATACCATTTTATGAAATACTACGCGTGAGATGCGGGTGAAAAGTGCGAGATTTCATATGATTTCAAATCCTAAAATGCTGCGCGTACGGTGCTGAGAAATTTGTGATCACCTTTTTTGGGACTTTGTAGTAAAAGCATTTGCTTTCCCCCATATAGAAGTTACTCTGAATCTTTCGAGTTCACTAACTGGTATGACTAGCTGTTCTGTTTATGTACAAGCCTAGATAATGATGAAAAATATAATTATCAAACGATGGAGTAATCACGTTAGTATGTTAAAATGATCGACTAGCGCAGCCATTTACTCTCTTTATTTTGTGCTGTGACTATAACGTCCACTTAATATCAGGTGAACTGTGTACACATTTGTCACTTTTTAAGTTCTATAGAAAAAAAATACGGTGAAGATTTAGTAATCCGCTGCTTTAAGTATATAAAACTACAAGATATTTAAAAATTTTCACTTTTTTGAAATAATATATAAATAATATAACATAATAATATAAAAGTTGGTTTCTCTTTTTCAGATAACTAAGACACTCAAATTGTTAGACATAAGTGACAATAAAATTAAATATTTGCCAAAAGCGATATGGAAATTGGAAAGACTAGTTACACTGAAAGTAAACAACAATGAAATAAGTAAAATGCCTGCAACAGTTGGGCGCATTCAAACTTTAAGGTAACAATAGGTCCTTTGACACTTGTAAGAATGGTGTATGTGATTTATTTCTAAATACTATTTGTGTTCATGTTTAGGTATCTGGATATATCGCACAATAGGCTGGAATCATTGCCATGTAGTTTATTGCAATGTCGGTTAGAGCACATAGACATTTCGTCAAACAACTTCAACTTTTCTACACAAATACAACTTAAGGAAAATAATCTAGCAGCATGGCAACTCTACATTAACAGTCTTACCCATCTAGCTTCGAAAATAGTGTTAAAACATAAACTATTTTACGCTCCTAACATAATACCATTTACATTGGTTGAATTTTTGGATAACGCTAATATGTGTATTTGTGGAAACCCTGTTGTTAGTGATGAATACTATGTCATTCGGGAATTTGAACTTAAAGATTACTTCAGGGTTGTAGTGTTTGATAATAACAGAAATAGCAGTATTAGATTCGAGTGTTTCTTTTGTTCTTCGAAATGTTACATTAAGTGATTGTTAATTACTATGTATAATTATAAAGAAAAACATGTAATAAAAATAAAATTAATTTATTGTACAATATTTTGCTTTTTATTTACTTACACACATTTTAATGCAAATTATATACATTTTATACAAACTAAATAACTGCCTAACTGAGACCTTCTAGTTTCCAATTAACATCTTGGATAATCGGAGCTATCCTTACTTGGGGTTCTGAAATAAAAATGGTATTTAAAAATAAAATTATATTCTCAATTCATAGATAATTATTTTTGATACATAATTATATTTACCAAGGAAAGATAAGCTGTCAGCTATAATATTTGAACCTTCAGGCAAATTTTCGGCTTCAATTGCAGCTTTAGTAGCTTGTAGAACTAAATCATTGGTCCAGATCGTTTTCAAATTATCTTTCATTTCTTTTATCAACTTATCCATATTATTCTAAAAGAAAAAATTTGTTAAATATTGACTTTTAGTTTTCACAACATTCTCATACTTATCTATACAAATAAAAAAAAATTGAAGTGTCTGTTTGTAATGTCAAAATTACAGATTTTACTAAATGCATATGAAAGTAAATATGGTAAAAAACAATTTTTTTAAATGTTGTCTGTTTGTTCCGGCTAATCTCCGAAACGGCTGGACCGATTTTGACGGGGCTTTCACTGGCAGATAGCTGATGTTATAAGGAGTAACTTAGGCTACTTTTATTTTAGAAAAATAATTAGGGTTCCGCGCAAAAAAAAAAACCATAACACGCGTGCGAAGTCGCGGGGAACAGCTAGTTTTATATAAAACTGACTTGACAAGCGAACTTACAGTTCAACCTATTGGGTAAGTGGCTATTGCAGTCCATTGACACCTGCGGCCAATGTCAAATGAAGAAGACTTAAGATGCGTTGTTACCTCTGAGGACTAAGATGGAATGCGCCAGAGCCTGTAACTAAGGCTCTCTATACCTTTGAGACCAAAACAAGTCATTGCTTGTGTTTTGGTGTTGTGTTTGGTCTTTCACTCAAACACTACTGTTTGGCGGCAGAATAGGTAACAAGGTGGTATCTACTTAGACGGACTCCCAGGCAAAAAAGGAGCCCTACCACTAGTACTTAAATCATTTATAATTTTGTTCCTTATGTTATCAAAATATTCTTAATACCTGTAACTGCGAAGCCAGATTATCTTGGTTTAAACAATATAAGGCAATATTTATATCTTTTATGTGCAACCTTAAGTTACTAGATGATGTAATCAAACTATGCAGAGTCATTATAAGGGCTACATCTTCATATTGGGATCCTTCCTTTAACGATGCAACTTTTCTTTGATGTTTCCTTCTATTTTTACTTGACCTATACGATCTCCTAAAAAGTACAATGCATATATTAAACAAGAATGATTAAATCAATTTATTGGTGTTTATCTCGAAAACTATTTGGATTATTCTAAAATTTAGTGTCCAACCGAAGCTTCGGCTTCAGCCGAAAACACATTTTTTAAATAACGTTAGCGTACCGCGCTTCAGGCGCTTTATTGTTACAGAATAATTCTATTAAAAAAATGTCAAAAAACCAACATAAAATAGCAGTTTAATTGTACTATGTTTTGTATGGTAAGTGTAGAGAACCGGAGACCCTATTTAATAGTAACGAGACATTCTATTATAGACTTCGCAAGCTTCGCCACTTAATAAGTGTGGTGGAGACACTATCGTGTGAAAAGCATATTTTAATTTGATTTTTTGGTAATCGTGCTGCTGCTACATTGTTTAGTTGTTTACAATAAATATTTGCCATAGGTGTAGTGTTACTTAGTAGGAGCTTCCAGTAAAAAATATTATTTATGCCCCATTACACACTAAAGAACTTTTTAACTCAATTCGATTATTTCTGTTTCTCTAACTCCCAGCAACTGGCGCTTTCGCGATTAACGATTAATTGGCGGCTCATTTGAAGATCCCTAAGTCGTATCAGTTCGGAAAAATCTGCTGGTAGCCGATTCCACAAAGTCGCGCGAGGAAGAAAACATCTAGTTATTTTGCTATTGCAGTATGAGAGCACTGAAGTTATTTCCATGAACCTTTTTAATTCTTCCACATTTATTGTTGGAGGTCGTCAGCGATGAAGTTCATCAGACAGTGTAATTTTTATCATTAAATATTCTGAACCAATATTTGATGGTATCGTAAACGAGCATCTTCGCCCGTTGTTGCTTTAGTCGCTTTTCAAGAAGTAAGCAATCAAAGTTCTGTATGAAAAATATCCATAATTGACTATAGTTTTACTCCTGAAGGTTCAGTTGTCAAATGATCTGACGTCTAACTATTACTCTATATCTATATAATTCTTTTAATAATTCAATAAATGTACTACATAATATTGAAAACAGTTTGTATACACTCAGTTTGTTTTTAAAGCGCGATTCGCAGCGACATAATATTACAAAATTCTAATATGTAAATGTAAGGTTAAGTCGAAGAGCGGAAAGGGAAAGATGAATTGCACCAACACCCAGTTTCTTTTATTTCATTTTAGTTGAAGGGTAATATTTATTTCCCATTGGTTAGTCAAATGATATGGAAATCCTATTAGGCAGGCATAATCTGATACTGTAAGGATGGAATTTTATTTAGCTTCGAAAAATTTATTTTCAATTTTTAAAAAATAAATTCATTATATTCAATATATTTAAGTCAGGGTTCTTTGCTGATGCACAATTTTTTCACATCAGTTAATGCTGTAATTATCAGTGTTTTTAGCCGTGAATGTGCTGACAATTTTCTTTAAAAAATAAACAGCAAATAAACAAACTTTTTAGATGAAAATTAAGTGTTTTACTTAATTTTCATCTAAAAAGTTGCAGATTTTCTTGGTATTGAAATAAACATTACGTTTAAAGGCTGATTTTTTAATCATCAAATAAAAATTATCCCTAAAATATATTAATACCTTACTGAATACAATGCAGTATTTAGATTAATAATTATTTAGTATTTATAATAGTATTAGTATTAGATTTTTGGTCAGGATATCAAGGTGCTGATGTGTTTACAACACAAGCCGATGTTTGTTCAAATACAGGGCAGTCAAACAAAACAAAACCAGTTGCATAATGGTGTGACAGGTGTGGATATAATATCCCTTAAACTGTTAACAAATGCACTGGACGGAAGTATTTTTGTCTCTACTCCCCTATGGTGCCACAACGTGGACACTGATAATATGACTACGGATGGAAAGACCTATGCTCGGAGCACTTCTGTTGGATAAAATTCGTAATGGAGAAATCCACAGAATAACTAAGAAAACTGACATAGCTCTCCATATTTGTAAATTGAAGTGACAACCAGTAGAGTATACATGTTATGTAATGGAGACCGCGCCTAAGCAGACGTAGTGTAGGGCGCCCTCTGACTAGATGGAGCGACGATCTGCGCAAAGTGGCTGATAGGAACTGGATCTGAAGACCGGGGTAGATGATGATGATGACTAGATTAGTAATTAAGTACCAATGCATAACTTGCTACCAGTCTTTCGTATTATGAATATTAGAACTTTATGAAGGTAAGGTGTATTTTAAAAGCAGTAGCTATGGTGCTTTTGCGGCTTCAAGTTTATTCCGAGAAACTTAATAAATAGTTCCTAATATTGCTGCATAACTGTTCGCTACAAACGTTCGCCGGCGGCAAAGAAATTTTCAAGTAAATTTTGGAAGTGCACTATGATAATGTTCATTGATTCTTGGCCAATCAGGCTGGTTTTGTGACACGATAAAATTTTTTTTCTTTAATATATTATTTCAACTTTATTATTGCGAACTTTAGCAATGATAAGCAGCACTGATCTATGCGGTTGCTGATGGTCATGTTCGCAACAAGCCTGATTCAAATAACGAACTAGAAAGAACATGACTAAAATAGCATAACTAGACCTACAATAATACACAGAATATCATTATTAATCAAAAAATGTGATTATTACATATTTTTTGATACAAATATAACTTGTGAACATACCCAGAGCCAGATGAGGAAGCTAAAGTACTCCCAGTATCTGAATACAAGTCATCATCCTTGTTCGTATTAAAAGCTTCATAAATGTGGTCCACCTTATTATTTTGTTTATTTTCTCTCAATTCTAACAAGCGTGACCTATATTTAACAAAATCATTATAATTTTTTTCAATTAGTTCACAAAGGTTTTTAAATTCTTCTAACAACGCAGGCAGTAAGCAATCACCTGGAAAGAAACATCAAGGTTATAAACAATCTTGTATAATATGTGTTTGTACAAAATCTACACTAATATTATATTTGTGAAAGTTTAGTTTTTATTTACTTCTTAGCACGAGAAAATATAAGGAAAATGAAAATGAAGGCATTTCCGATTTCACATTCAAGTCAAAATCTAAAATGATCATTAGACTGTGTAACTTACTTCTTAAATCTGGTCTGTTATAAATTGAACACAGCCTTAATGCTGCTTTATATTGACTATTTTCAATTGCATAATAGATTGCACCTTCAGTACTCTGCAAGTATTGTTCCAAAATAGTTAAAGCTTCTGTATGCCGTTTCTCATCTTTCAATGCATTTACAAGGTCCCTAGAAAGAACATAATCTTTATTTATATAGTTGATCTCAAAATGGATTGAACAATAAAAAATAAAAACAAATAACCCACCTACATAGTTGTTCATACTGATCTTTAGACATTTGTTTTGCTATACTTATTGCTAACTCCCATTCTAAAGCATCTTTATAACATTCCACAGCTTTTGTATAATTTTTAGCTCTTTCATATACTATCCCAGCTTCTAAAAATTCCTTTTTCAATTTTAAATAAAGACCATAGTCATCAGATATTTGTTTATATATATCTTCATCAGCATTAAACAACACTAATGCTTCCCTATAAAGACTATGATACTTAACGAAAGTTTTTAATTCCTCGTGTTTTTCAACCCCGCAATTTGCAAGATATTTTACTGACTTGTCAAATCTTTTCAGATGTTTGTTTATATTAAACTTTTTATAATTTTCATCCATTCCATTCAACTCATTAAGCATTGGGATATATTCCTTAGGATCTTTTTGAGATTTATTGGCAACAAGTAGTACTAAATCAAAATCATACATTCCAAGAGCAACGTTAAATAGTTGATCAACATTAACCATGTATAATAAAAATTTTATAGCTTCATCAGATCCTACAGGTAATTTCATACTCTTCGTTTCTTCTGTTTTAATTTGTTTAATAAGTAATAATGCATTTTCTAGATCTTCAATGGTATTTTTCTTTATGTATGTTGTTAATAATGGTAGTATTTTCTCATCTCTGTCAATTCTTTTATTAATATATGTTTGTATAACATCACATATTTTCTCAACTTTATTAGTATTTTCATTTGTATTTTTTTCGTTTGCGTAACTACTTGAATACATTGTTTTTGTGACATCTGAATTTTCCAAATCAGATAAAAAAAGGCAAAGCCAAGAATTGTTTTGAATAGAGTCTAAGAATTTATCTATGTTGCTTAAGAATAATTTAGGGTTATGGTCATGTATTAAATTAAGATTGATTCGTTGTTTCCTCATTAAATCGAACGCTTTTTCATAATGCAGAGAATCAAGTAATTCTCCAATTATCTTTAGGGACAAAGGTCGAGGTTGAATTGTTTCCAAATTTCCTCTTGGCATTTGAAAAATGGTATTTGTTGCATTTGGCACAGCTATAATTAACTTAGCCCCCCTTTCAATTTTTCTTTTGTAAATTTTTAATGAACCATTTTTTTGGTATTCTAAAATAGCCTCCATGCCTGATTCTGATAATTCTGTACATAGGAGCATATGCTGCAATGTTGTTATAAGAAGAAAACTCGTATGCACAAAGTATGAACTAACATTATTTAAAACTATTCTATCATTTATATACAAATTTCCTCTGTGTGATAGACCTAAAAATTGTAAACTACTGTTTATTGATACCACTTCAAATTTTGGGCATGGAGTTTTAAAAGAAATATCTTGCATACTTGTAATTTGTCCCATACTGTATTTTATAATATCACCAGATATTAATTGCAAAAACAATATGAATGGATCATGTGGGTGACTGTGGAGTTTTACAACAGCTGAAGGTAAACATGTTATATGTTTTTGAGAAAGAGTATTATTTAAAATGCAAAATTCAACCAAATAATAATTTAGTTCATCAACTTTTATAGCAACTATAGTGTCATGTCTTAACCAATACCAATTGTAATATTCAAAAGGAAAATTATACATGTCCATATCTAAAGACTTTAAAATTTGGTAGCGCAGAGGTAGTTTTTGAACATGTTCAAAAAATATTAATTTTTTTTCTATTATTATAAAAAATGCATTAGTATTAACACTGTGACCAGTTTCTTCCATGTAGTGTGGAGCAAACTGTATTGAATGGATGTTGGATTCTGTTACTATCTCAAAACTTGCCATTGGTGGTGGAACAACGGTCTGCCTTAGACCTGTTACCAATAACTTTTCTCCATGGATAACCGCAACTACTGCATCATCTTGACTATTCTTGCCCCGACTATGATTTATGTTCCAAATCCATGAATAAATATAATGTCTACCATTATCTAGGACAACATGTAATTTTTTGTTGTTCACAATGTCAAAATCACTATCCCAAAATATTTGGTTAATATTTATAGATTCATGAAATATTAATATTTGCTTTAGATACCATTGGTAATTGCTTGTTGTGTACAAAAGCAGTTTCTGTGTACCATCCTCCAAACTTCTGCACTGTAAAGTCAATATTTCAGAATCTGAACTCCAGAGTAAATTTTCAACAATTGTTTGGGAATTAACAGGAATGATAAATTCACCATGTTTCAAACCATTCTTTTCAAAGAAAGCTACTAAATATTTTTCATTTGCCTTTTGTGTTGTTGCAATTAGATTGCCTGAAGGACGCCATGACAGGTTTGATTCAAGTCCTATTTGGTATTCACTTGTGTATTGCAAATGACCCTCTCTATCAAATACTTTGAATCTTCTCACACCATTTAGTTGGAAACCAACAGCGAAAAAATTTCCGTCACCTCTCCATGTAATTTTTATAGACGAGTCAGAACTTATATTCTGCCCTGAAAGCATTCATAGATATTGATTAATAAGAAAGTACATGCAATTTTTTTTTATAGAAGCAAAGGATAGTTATTGCTATTATTTCAGATATTTAGTATCCATAGTTACAAACAAATACATATTACAATCCTAACAGGAAAATAAATAAGAAATCTTATTTATCATTAAAAATGTATGCAGTTTTGGATCCTTTATGTACATAGTTCCAATGCCACAAAACTGAGCAAAAAGTTTTGCTCAATACTTAATAATAATAAAAATATACTTTAAAATATTACTAAGAGGGCTAACCTAACTGTTGTTACTTTTCTTTATTAGAAACTACTTAAACATTACATTTTTACAATATCATCTATCATCATCATCATTACAGCCCTTCACAAGTCCACTGATGAATATAAACCTTTCCCAAGGAATGCCTGTACACAAAATACGATCTTAAGCCGCTTACCAGGTTCTCACCCTATTTAGTTGTGGCTACCCTACATTTTCCTTATAAGCACAATGCTGCCACTCGGGAACCTGCCTTCCCCATTGCATGTAGGTTCTTCAAACATCAACTTCAGAATCATGTTACTACATAATTCTGAAGTTAATGAATTTCGAGAATATTGGTGTATAGTAATAGCTTGCAAAACTTGTACTAATTTAACAATAATCAATATGTAACATATTTGGCTTACCAACATCATCTTCATTTATCACTTTTGCAGCCTGTTTTCCACCTGATCCATGAAACTGTGTCTCTTTTTTCCCCCATCCTACATTAATAAATTGTTTTTCACCAAAGTTTTTATCCAAAAGTTCTACTTCATTTATTGGATCAAATGTACATGACATTGTAATCATTTTAAGATCTTTAGTAACCAAAACAAGTAAATCTTGATCTGGACTCCATTCCATTGCCTTTAAAATAAAAATATGTATTAAATATAGTGTCTCCCAACCAAGGGTGGTTGGGTCTTTGTTAATGTTGATTTTTTTTTAATTGATAGCCTATATTTAGTGTATGTAAAATTTGATTTACTATATATTAGTAGATATACTAGTTCCTAATATGATTACACATCGCATGAAAGTGCTTTCAAAGACTGGTAAGGAAGTAGCCTTGCTCAGTTAATTGGAAATAACCCTTAGTGCTTGAATTTCTAATCAATAAAAATATTAAAAAACAAAGAACCCCACTTCAATAATAACAACTTGAGACACTTTGACTGTGTTCAACTGAGGCTTACAGATTAATTTGGTGCAAGATCATAGAATAACATACCATATGAGGAAAGGCTGAATAAGCTTAAACTAACGACTCTGAAAGATCACAGATAATGAGGAGACTTAATAGAAACATATATAATTATACATGGACACTACGATCTAAAAAATTTTGACAAAGATTTATTCCAGTACTCAAAAACACACATCTTAGGGTACATTACTTCAAATTAATTAAAGCTGTGTCACATAATAACCCACACAAGCACTTTTTTAGCCAAAGAGTGGTTGAAGTATGGAACAAGCTGCCACCAGAAGTGATATCTGCACAAACTATTAACCAATTCAAGAACAGATTAGATAATTGAATAAAATAATTACACATTTGAAACTTGGATACGGGCTTATACCAGTTGTTTCACCTGCTGCCCTGTTAAATAATAATAATAATAATAAAGATCTTTGCACTGATGGTAAACTAAACAAAACTTTAAGAGCAAACATATATGTGTCCATTCAATAGCATTCATAGCCACCTACTGCCGGGCTCTCCTGTGAACTATAGGAGGTAAGCGCTATTAGTTGCACAAGCATAAGATTTCACGACAGCACTTAATGGCTTTTATGGTCACTCAAAAGCACTAAATGCCCATATGACCTTGGGGCCAACGCAGCCACACCTTAACCTACTGTTGCTAATATTTGTGTTTTTATATTTTTGACAAAGTTAATAGAAATCATAGTTATTTTAATTATTATTCAGTCTACTACACCTAGTTTTAACACTGAATAAATAAAATACTTCTTTAATATGAGTTTTACCAACCGTAATTGGTACAGCTTATTAACAACCAGTTAAACAAATAATATCATTTGTCCTGTTACCAGACCATTAAACATTTAATAAAGAATTTCTGTAAACACTAGGAACAAACACAAGCTAATGATACCAGTTTTTTGACTCCACAGAGTCAGTAATTCATTCTTGGGGCAATGTATATGCTATTACAAGGTTGCGGAAAGTGTACAGGCTCTCTCTATTATCAAGTTTAAATGTTTTGTTAAGTTGAAACTGTATAAAAAGGGTTATTATAGTATAAATGAATACATGGTTGATAATAACCCTTGGGAATGAGGTGGTCACTTCAAAGCTGTTTCTAAAATAAATTTTGTACTTATATAGTTTGTACAACAATTAATGTAAAATATGCTTTTAAAAAAAAAGTCCTACTGGGTTTCTTTCTGGTTCTTCCCAGGACAGAGGGTTTTTTTTTTCAAACCAGTTGTAAAGTCAAAAATAACTTTCAATAAGAATTACAAATTATTCTATTCTATTACAACAATATACATAATGACACATTTATAAAATGATTTTAAATCACAAAAGTTTACATTGGTGAGGGTGATGGTAAGTCTATAGAGCCTTTAAATGGTAACAAGGTATTCCAATTTAGTCTTCAGGGGTGACAATGCAATCAATGATAAAAGAAGAAGTCTATGGGCCACAGTAGCATCCACCTATTATCTGGTACTCTGTTTTTTTTAAAAAAAATAAGGGTGACAAATGGGCAGTTTATACAGTCCACCCGATGGTAAGTGGATTGTGGCCCATAGATATCTACATCTATCCTCGATTAAGAACCAAATTGCAGATGCGTTGTCACCCCTGAGGACTAAAATGAAATGCCTCATTTCCCGTAAAACTGGTCTCTGATTCTATTTTATGCTGGTGTTCTGTGAGTGTGGTCCTAACCCTGTTGTGCCGACCCATTCTTACTACAACCATAATATAAGTACAGCATGGCTCTACCACATCGTGCTTGTTTGTCACCCTTATTATATAAAAAGAAAATTTTTACATGTATGTAGAAAAGTAATTTAAAACACTAATATCTTGAAAGCTGTGCATTTCCACAATACAATATTTTAGTACTTGACTAACAAAAATAAAATCTTTCCTCATTAAAGTATGAACCTTAAAATCAATTGTAGTTTATTTGCGGTTGAGCCTTAATTTTCTTTATTTACATTTCATATCTTCATACTTATATTTAAAAGCATAATGGGTCAATCAATGTAATTTTTCACTTTATTTCCTTCCCTAAATTAAAATTAGAAAAAGTGTTCCAAATGCCAGCATGATTATTCTTTAGGAATTTTTTTTTTCATCATTTAATGACAAGACCGATGGTTATTAAAATTATGAAACAGTCACGAATTATTGTTAAGAATTTTACTGAAAGTTATTTACCAGTAATCCATTTTCGAACACACCCACTACATCGTAAGTAACCCCAGATTCATCGATTGTAACCAATTCGCCATTAGATAGTGCTACACATATCTGATTCGATAATGAAATATACGTAATCTTTACTGGAAAATTTTCTCCATTTGTTATTTCAGAAATATCTTTGGACCAATTAACAGCTCCAAATTCATCAATGTTTAGCACTTCTAGGTTATGAGTAATAACAAACAATTTACACTTATTGTCTGCATCATAACTATAAGATAAACAGTTTTTTTCATTTAATTTAATATTGATATTTTTTACAAGCACCTCCCAAACTTCCAAATTTCTCATGTTTCATATAAAGTTTAAGAATATATTTAATAATAACAAACACGTTAACGTTAATCACAAAGAAATACGAGCAAAGACCAAAGAGTATAGCACAAACTATATAGAAACTAGAGTATAGTAACCACAAACTATATAGAAACACTACGCGATAGTAACGTCTCGCTAGAGAGTAGTATATTCCTTGCATAGACATAGTATCTTATAGACTAAACATTCAGTGACGTCATCAGCGTGTGAAAGGAATGCACGTATATAGTTAAACATAAGAGTAAGGGAGAAGCAAATCTATATTTTTTGTCTTTTTCTAGGTATGTGTTTTTGATTGTTTTCCCTCCTTTATTTGACATTAACGATGTCAAGCTCTTTTGAATAATATTGACATTATAAGCAAACAGATAATTGAATTTAGTGTTTTTTGTGGATCTTAGTTATTAGGTAAGGTGAAAAAGATGGTAAGTTGTAGCATTTTAGGATGCAACAGCATCAGTCAACGAAAAATTGATAATATTACCTTTTATCGGTAAGTTTGTTTTGTGCTTATATTTGCTACTTGTACTGATTAATATCTATTGTTTTGAATATAAAGTGTAACATTTCATGTTTTTAATGAACTTTGTGATGTATTTTGTCAAATATTTGGACTCTCAAATCGTAAATTCTTCATGATAATGCTCCTTAATTTGAACGGTCATTCGAAAGCCGTTTTAATTACGTAACGTTTTTAAAGAAAAAGAAAGAAAAAAAAAGAAAAGCTTAAAGTCATAACAAAGGTGTACTTTTTGATTTTGTAGGATTATAGAAACTTTAGGGATATCAGCGAGTACAATAAAGTTTTCTCATTGTTCAATAATAATTGTTATTGTGATTAGTAGTTATGTCCATAAATATGAATCACATAATGTTATACATATAACACTTTTATGTTCAGCTTTAAAGGAAACTCCTTATTGCCCTACAACTCTTCAATCATTTTCCATATTACATAGACTTCACAAATAATATGTAAGTATCAACCTGAAAACATGTTTGGATTCAAGTACATAAATATTGGGCAAAGTATATTTAATTTCACAAAATATGTATTGCCTGAAATCAGATGCACAAAACTTTATTGGGCTTAGCTTTCCATTGACGTCAGTGGAGTTTGGTGTTGATACGTATTTTTACAGAAAGATTACACTATTATAAGCACACACACAATGTCTCAATATACGGAAACGCGTAATTTTTTAGAAAAGAATAATTGAAAATCAATTATTCTTGCAATGTTTACGTCTAATTTGCTAATAAACTGGCGCCATTTTGTAATGTCATTGTCGACGTCAATAGGGATGTCGATTCTTTCCGAAAAAGGTCGATTTTTAAATCGATTCAAATCGTAAGCGGTTCACAAAAAATCGATTTCTAAAATGTCTATATTTTTTTAATGTTTCTATTTATAATGTAAATATAAACCCATTTTATGAAAAACAAGAAAGATACCATGATAAATGATCTCTTATTGAAATTTGTTTTATTTAACAGTACCTATTAGGGCAGATAACAAATAAAATAGGTTAGGTTCAACTTATGTCAAAGAACCGAATTGATTGACCCCGACTCCACCTGGTACGAGTCTGTCCTACCCCTAGAGTGGTTTTATATAGCCGGAGGCGCGTAGGGGGAGCAGCCTCCGCAGCTTCGGCTTGTTGGTCGCCTTTGGCGACCAGCCTCAGCCGCTCCGGCTCGTCCGATGCCTACGATTTGTTACGCTAAGGCGTAGAGGTTGCTCTTCCCGCAGCGCCGGAGACGTAGCAGTCTCAAAATAGATACAGAAATCCTTATGAATCAGTCCCCTTATTTTTTTCTCATAAAATGGATTTATATTTACATTATAAATGCAAACATGAAAAAAATATCGATATTATAGAAATCGATTTTTTAGGAATCGATACATCAGCTTACGATTTGAATCGATTTAAAAATCGACCTTTTTCGGAAAGAATCGACATCCCTATTGACGTCGACAATGACATTACAAAATGGCGCCAGTTTATTAGCAGATTAGACATAAACATTGGAAGAATAATTGATTTTCAATTATTCTTTTCTCAAAAATTACGTGTTTCCGTATATTGAGACTTTGTGTGTGTTGTGCTTATAATAGTGTAATCTTTCTATAAAAATACGTATCACCACCAAACTCCACTGACGTCAATGGAAAGTCGTACCCTTTATTGCATTCCATTAATTCTATTATACATTAGCAACAATTACATTACAATATTTATTAAAAAAATGTCATGCTAATATAAAAATAAATATAGATAAAATAATAAATAAATAAATAAGTCTTAATCTTAAGGTACACAATAACACAACAACATAAGATAATATTCTCAATTAATGATGTAGAAAAAATTTGATGATAATATACTTACCGTTACCATTAGTCAGTATCAAAAGTTATAGGTTTTGTGATAGTTGCCTAGCTTGGCAGGATAATTGGCCACTGCAGTTATTTGGAGACAACCTGTGTGGGAGGTCTATGTTCAGCGGTGGAGGACATTTGTTAGGCTGTAAATGTATTAATTAACAATATCTAAAGCATAATTTTTTTAAATGTTTGGTATGAATAATATTATCATTACATTTACATATACTTGCTATTTAAATAAATCAATTGATATTGTTTTAATTGTTCTAGGTATTGTGTTTATGCACAGATACACATACTTGATTTTTTTTTGTTAAATACCTTGATATAAAAGTATACTATATATTTAATATATTAATTTCTTTTAAATATATTATTTCACAGCTTTCCTAAGGAATCAACCATCCGTAACAGTTGGATAATCGCTACTGGTAGTGCTTATAGGTAACCAACAAAACTTAGCAGTGTATGCTCAAAACATTTTAAGCCTCATTGTTTTAGGTGGACTAAATATGCTTAACTTATGTAATTTATAATATAATTAAGATAATTTTTTTAAATGTTATAATTTCTTGTTGTATCTTGTTGTTTCTCCATAAGTGATATAAGTTTGATCTTGTTGGTAGTTATGATTTTCGACATTGTTCTGTATGTATCAAAAATTGACTAGCATTGCTTATTTTATTTTCAAATGCTGACATTCTGTATTATTATGACTTGTAATAATTGGGTGGCATGACAATGACAAAATATTTACTTATAGATGTATTGATTAAACATGAATCCTCATTTACAAATGTTGGAACTTTATCTGTACTACCACGTTTAGTGCAAATAAAGATTTAAATAAAATAAATAAATAAGTAATTTAAAATCCTGACCTAAATATACAAATGAATAATTTATTATGCAATAATAATTGTAAAACTGACTGGGAATGCCTACCAATGGGACATTTAGTCCACCCTTAATGCCTTTTATAAAGGTGTTATAAACATTAATGTGTAAATAAATTAAGAAATAATAATTTATAATATTAATTAAGAAATAAGAGATAAGTATTACCTATCTAAGTATAGTTTAGGAATTGTATCTTATTATTTATACCATTAAAATATATTATATACAAGGCAAATAATATATATATGTATGTGACGGCACGTGCACCATTACACGTGCGGCGGCTTGGTGTAGCTAGACAGAATTCTTGTAAATAACACGTGCTCCGCACACCTGCACCATTGCACCTGCGGTGGCGCCCGTTTAGCTTGTATAAAACGGACGGAGCTGCCGCCGTTAGGACAGTCTTGGCTCTGACGTGGAACGGTGCGCTTGTCGTATTGCGTTACTAGTTTATCCTCGACTCGTTGGATAATTAATTCGTGTAAACGAATTAATTATTATTCCCAACTACAAAATCAGTCTCTGTACTATACCCATTATACTTCCTATATCAGAAGTGGGATAAAGTCTCCATTTTTGCCCACATACAATCTTCGAATAGTATGAGGATTATTACATTTGTGAAAGACTATAATGCATTCTGCATTGATGATTCTGTTTTTATGTTAAATACCGTAATGAAATTTGCTGTCCTACTTACGATATTGTCGTATCATTAAAGTGTAGAGAAAACATAAAGTGAAATTATTTAAGCAAATTTTTTTAATTTGTTCGATTTATAATAGAAAGTACCCGCAAGTAATTTCATTATTTCTTAACGTACCCAAATATGATAACAAATGTCGAAAGAAATGTTGGAGATATTCTGAATGAGTTATAGTTTGCATTCAGTGGAAGTTTAACTTGCTCAAGAAATGTTATAATTTGATACACGAGGTGAGATTTACATGGCCTAGTTTTAAAGTTCAAAATGTTTAAACGATGTACCGAAAAAAAGAACATGATTACTTTAACGTGCTATGACTTAAAAACACTAAGTAGTATTTTTGTGATCTAATGTGATGATAAGTGTTACAGTTTACTCCGAGCATTACGTAGTCGACAAACTAGGAATGGTTTAGTGGAAAGCGTGGAGCTGTAGCGCTCGCTTTTGAATATGCTGTCTGCTTATGACGCCGCGGACTTATTATTTGTCGCTGCTACTGATCACCATTAGATACATGAGGAAATTAAATTTATCCTAAACATTGGCTCAGAAACTATTTTGTAAGAATGAGTGTTTACATTTTTAATTGGTTGCGAAAAATGCCGGAAAACCGAAGTATAACTGATGAAAGTGAAGTAGAGCCAATTAGTTCTGACATTGAAGAGAGTATTTAAGTTTACATGAGGATCGGACCATACCAGGGGTTGTCGTGTAGCCGCAGCTCAGTATTTGGTGCCCTAGAAAGGCGAATGGTGTACCAAGAGTAGTGCTGCATTTCTTGAAATCAAGTTCCGACTGAGTATTTTTAATATTTTCTTTTATGTGTTACAGTAGCACGTGTGATGTGATTACAAGTGCGTGAGTGTGTGCCTTGCTGGTCGTAACGGACTGCCAGGTCCAGCTGTAACATGGCCTAGTTTCGGTAGATGCGTATGCGCGTATACGCAGGCGCCATCCCGGAGCGCGCGTATGCTG